TGCCACTGAGCCACAGCCCCTCCACCAAACTGGCAATATATTATTTTTATCTTAATTTCAACCCCATTGTAGCATTTGTTTCCTAAGAGAAACCAATAGCATGTAGCCTGCTAACATTTCAGTTTGGGCCCAATTAAGAAATGAAAGCCAGGAAGTACAACCCAGCCTCCTGCGCTCTCCGTGTCAAAATTCCCCATCATGGTCACCGATCACCACATTTGCCGTAATATGTGTAAGCGAGTAGTAGAAGAAGAAGAGATTGGATTTACACCCCGCCCTTCACTACCCAAAGGAGTCTCACAGTGGCTTACAATCTCCTTTCCCTTCCCCTCCCCACAACGGATACCCTCTGAGGTTGGTGGGACTGAGAGAACTCTGACAAAAACTGCTCTTTTTCAAGAACAGCTGTGCCAGAACTATGGCTTGCCCAAGGTCATCCAGCAGGTGCAAGTGGAGGAGTGGGGAATCAAACCTGGTTCTCCCAGATTAGAGTCCGCGTACTTAACCACTACACAAAACTGAGTAGGAGTGGCTTTTCCCCATACAGAGCAACTGTTTTATTCATGTTAAAACGTATTTGGATGACAGCAAGCACTTAGATTTCAGTGTTATTGTATGTCACTTCAAGTGCCATTATAAAGTACGAATGATACAACGCATGAAATCAATAACTAAAGTCAGCTAAAAGAAAACATCAATAAATTTCCACTGGAAGTCTTGTATCTATTTAGGAACTTTATTTATACCTCGCTTTTCTTCCAAATGGGGACCCAAAGCAGCTTACATCATTCTCCTTTCCTCCATTTTATCCCCACAATGACCCTGTGAGGTACATTAGGCTGTGTAACTGGCCCAAGGTCACCCAGCAAGCTTCCATGGCACAACCGGGGATTCGAACCGGGGTCTCCCAGATCCTACAGCAACACTCTTAACCACTACACCACACTGTCTCTCGTAAAGCTGGTCTAAAACCAGCCCCTGGGTATTCCCAAGCACAGAGTTTATGCACATATGCCGAACTCCAGTCACTAGGATACATGTTTTAATGGTTAATTCAAGTTTTACAATTAGGCTGAAAACAAGGGGGGGACCCGCGATACTCACGGGAGAGGGGGACCTCAACACCTATGAGGAAGAGGAGGAAGCAGCAGCAGGAGGTAAGTTCCCCACCTATCCCGCTGGTTCCCCTCCGGAGGCCAGTTCTACCCACCCCTTCCCACTGCATTGGTAGACCTGGCCTCCGGAGTCCAGGTCTACTCATCTCTTCCCACTACATTGGTAGACCTGGCCTCTGGAGTCCAGGTCTACCCACCCCTTCCCACTGCATTGGTAGACCTGGCCTCCGGAGTCCAGGTCTACTCATCCCTTCCCACTACATTGGTAGACCTGGCCTCCGGAGTCCAGGTCTACTCATCTCTTCCCACTACATTGGTAGACCTGGCCTCTGGAGTCCAGGTCTACCCACCCCTTCCCACTGCATT